ACACACACACACACACACACACACACACACACACACACACACACACATAAAGCATGTAAACACACACACACATGCATGTGCACCCACATACCCCCATAGTCACATACACAAAGGGAACGCCACCAGGCAAGAAATCCATCTCTCATATGGCAGTCTACAGCATCTTACAGTGCAGAACTAAGCAAATAGCTTCTGATCTCTGAGCAAAGTAGTCAAGCATAGGTCTCCCAGAGCATCCAAGATAGGCCAGCAACTAACCCCAATGTGCTCTCTACCCACAGCTACACAGGCCTGTGAAGTATTTGCCAAAGACTTCTGTAACCCCGATCCCTAAGTCTCAGAGTACAGCGGTGGGAAGGGGTTAAGTTTACAATATTACCGTGGCCTGTTATAAACCATGAGTGGTCCAGGGCACAAGGGAAAACACAAGGCTCCATCTAGAGATGGTTATTATCAGGGAAGGTTACTGTGATGCTGGCATTAGCCAGAGGCCACCATCAGAGAGAGCCAAGAAAGATGCATTATGGTCCCCTGTGGTCACAGAGAAATAGGGCACTAGATGAAATGTCATGTTTTCCTAATTTATGATGAATATGTGTCCAGGGTAGAAAAGTTATGAGTACAGTGGGGGTAAATCTTCTTGCCACCTCAGCCACCTAGCTCCTTTTACAGAATGATCTATGTTGCCACTTTCTTGTGTATCAAGCCGTGAAGATTCTATGCATGGTAAACTTGCATGTGCACACACATGTACATACAGGTATACCCACACGTGTATGCATAATTATTCCTGTGTACTTATAATAAAATGTAATTTCTAGGAAGCATAACCACAGTTCTAGAGCTTGATTTTTACAAAATGGACAAAATATCTTCAGATGGAATTGTATCAGTTCACAGATAACTGAGAATTCTTCTTAATCATTGAGCAATAGTCCACTATTTATATTTAAAAGTGACTTCATAGCCAGGCATGGTGGTGCGAACCTTTAAACAAGAGGCAGAGGTAGAGAGGCAGAGGTAGAGGCAGGCTGATCTCACTAAGTTTAAGGCCAGCCTGGTCTATAGAGTGAGTCCAGGACAATCAAGGCTACATAGTGAGACTCTGTCTCAAAAAGAGAAAAGAAAAGGAAGGGAAAGAAAAGGAACTTTGTCTTTTATAATCCTTGGCTTTATAACTGATTCCTCACTTATGTAACCATACAGAATGTTTACTGTTTCACATGTATGGTCTATCTTTAGAATACAGCCCTAGAGATACTACCAGCATGATTCAGGAGTCAACGGGCAAGTAGAATTTTGAGTTCTGCAGGTATTTTCACGTTATTCTTCCCAGGGATCTGCAACATATTAGCGCATGTGCCTGACTCGGACTCTGGCCTCCTGCTTTGAACGGTTCAGTTGCTTTACAACAGCACAGCTCTCCCTGGTCACATCTACACGGATATTTATTTAACTATAGAGCGCCAGTCAGCCCTTTGTTACTCACTTTTCCTAGAAACTTTCTTCCCTTATTTTAAAAATTTTTCACACATCTGTGCTCAAATAATAGTAGCTAATATGTATGTATATACAGCTAACATGTAAGCATCTATAGCTAACATGTATGTATCTAGGGCTTTCTGTGTACCGAGCATCAGACTTGACCTTTTAAAATCGATTATCTCACTGAATTATGCCATGACACACACTGTGAGCTATTCTCCAGAAGTAGATACTTAGGCTCAAGGCCGAGGGGAACTAACTTCTGCATGCCTAGAGACCGTGACTGTGCTGTCCCAGTGCAAACCAGGAGCCTGTCTGTCCAGCCACGTGACAATACTGACGTGTAAGCATCATACTTATTTTTGTGTTTTTTCAAAAAGAGATTTATTTATTTATTATGTATAGAGTGTTCTGCCTGTATGCCAGATCTCATTACAGATGTTTGTGAGCCACCATGTGGTTTCTGGGAATTGAATTTGGGACCTCTGGAAGAGCAATTTTCTTAATCTCTGAGCCATCTCTCCACCCTAATTTTTGGGATATTTTTTAAATCTTTTTCATTTGTTTTTGAGACAAGCTATATGTAGAATGGGTTGGCCTTGAACTCTTCAATGATTCTCCTGCCTCTGCCCTCTCTGTTTTCTAACTCTGATGTGAATAGTTAGTTCATATGGCTTTTAGGATGTCTCATCTGCTAATGGAAATAACTGAATTTTTGCATTTCTCTTTGAGTACCATTTTAACTCTACCACATAAGCTTTTTGAATAGTGTAGTATGGATACCACAGGTTACCAGGATGTCCCCTTTGCTGATAGAAATCTGTGCAATGGAAGACACAGTATTCATGCTTATGACATTTATGCTTTCCATTCAATATTATGGTATGTTCTTCCATTTCTTAAACTAAATATGTATATCTATCTATTCTTAAATACTTTATCTTGGTTAAACTGTCATACTGATGGACTTCTTTTTCTGCAGAAGAAATCATGTAGATCTGATTTCTGACTAGTTGTTATTGAAACATATTAACACCATTCTCTCGCTCAGGAAGCTGAGGTAGGAGAAGTCCAAGTTCAAGGTCAGTCTGGGCTACAAAGCAAGAACTTACCTCAAAGCTAAAACAGACAAAAAGAGAACAAAAGGAAAAAATGTAATTGAAGCAATCATGGAATTATTAGAATTAGTTTTTAAGTAACTTAACAGATGGGCCCACGCTGTGTCCCCTCCCTCTGCAGCCACCGTGCCTACCTGGGTCTCCTGAGCCGTCGCTGTTCCTCTCACTCTCCCCATCTTCCTGGCCATCTGCATTCTGCTGGGTGTGCTGCAGGCTCAGCTTGTGGCAGACTTCAAAGGCCTGCCCCACCGTCCGCACGATTCTCATAGCTTGACTCTGGGAAGGAAGATGGAAAAGAAAGAGTGAAGGATGCGGAGACTCTACCAGGACACAGCAAAGGTCGGTGTGGCTGAGGATATGCAAGGTGGTCAGAAGCCTAGGCAGCCAGAGAAGGGAAGGTGGACAAATTCATGATTTCCCAGATGCACACACACTCTGGGAACAGCATCTGTGTCACCACTGCTCTGAAGCAGTTGCCAACTGAGACAGGCGCCAGAGGCAAGTGTTCCGATTCTGCACTGAGAGTTGGACTTGGCCTCATTTGTCCCTTCTAGTATGAAAGTAGTTCTGATCCTTCAGAATCTGTCACCAACCACTACCAAATGTCCAATGAGCCCATCAGAGTAGGAGGAACCCGGTCATCCTTTGACTTCTAATGGCCAATTTCCCCAGGAGCTCCTACAGACGGGCCTCCACGGGGCTGAGAAGACACGAGTTAATTGCAGAACCAGCTGAAGGCCGGTATCGTCACATATCCACAGTGACCATCAGAAAGGAGAGGCAAATCTTTCCCAGTCCTTCTCTATGACATTGGATAGCCAGATCTGTACACACAATGGGGAGAGTCTCTTCAATAAACGGTATTAGGAAAATGAAATATTTATAGGCAGAAGAGTGAAATTAGACTCCCGACTTATACCATATATAGAAATTAGCTCAGATCAGAGTCAAGACTGTAAAACCACTAGAAGAAAACAGGAATGAAACTCCAGGGCACTGGTTTGAGCAATGGCATTTTGGGACATGGTGCAGCTCCTTCCTTGCTTTTATTCTGCTATGTAACTTCTTCCTTTAGGAGCCCAATGGGAAAGCTCCTAGGCTTCCAGGATTCCACCACTTAATAAGGAAAGATAGGGAGGGCAGAGAAGCGATTTCCAGATTGTCTGTAACAACCCATCAGGTTGTACAGCTGGGGTCCCTGGGCATAGTCTCAAAGGTGTCCCGCTGGTTAGATAACTTGATGATTAGTTACCTCTCACCTACTTCCAAGTATTAAAAATGAAAGATATGTAAATATACAGTCACAGAGGCCACAGTGAAGAAAATCAAACATTGCACCATCATCAACTCTGGGTTATTTCACTAGACTTTACCTTATGCCCAAGTCGAGCACTAGCCATGTTTTGATGATCTGAGTTTTGGCATGACTGCTACACTGCTATACTGATAGTATTCAAGACCCCCAAGGGGACATCAGCATGAGGTACCCGACATTGTATTACCACTCTAATATCCAGTGCTTTGACAGACCAAAGGGGTCCTGCTGAGGCTACAGCATGATTCATTTGTACTTCTCATGGTGTTGAGATTTGTCTGTATCTCTCACACTACATCCGTGAACTCCTTCCCATTCCTGAAGCAGGAGAACCTGTACTTCAGGAGGTATGGTACCTAACAAATCAACGATGAATATGCCCCAGCTTTGTACATCTCTTTTCTATAATGATGGTGATAAATCATTTGAGAATTTCATGAATCTCATACGATATATTTTCATCATATTCACCCAAACTCCTCCCTTTAACTCTTCCCAGCTCCACCCACAACTGCCTACCCCTCCAAACTTCACGCCTACCTCCTCTTTTTAAATAACCCATCAGCTACAATTTGTGCTGCTCAGATACTTCTGTGGGGCCATCAGTAGAGTGTGGACAACTTCACCAGGAGCTACACCTTTAAGGAACGCCAACTGCCCCTCCCCTAGAAACCATAAATTGTCCCTCGCTACTCAGGGGTGGGCTCCCAAACCCCTCCCAACTCTAGAGTACCAACTGCCTTCTTCTTTTGCAGGCAACTGCAGCTGCCGGGCTGGAAGGGCTTCCAGCACTTTTGATCATGAGGACGCTCCCTGGTCAGGGCTGGACCAGGAAGCTCCACCTTCAGAAAAAAAGACCACTTGCTGCGGCTTCAGTGATGTCCATCCTCTAGTCCCCCCCCCCCTTTCTGGAAAGAAGAGCAGGCTGCCTGTGGCTTCTCAATCTTTCGCATCACAGCGAAGCTCATCCACCAAGTCACTGCATGTGTGGCTTTCTGCCTGCCACACTGTCCCTTAACAGAAGATTTTACTTCGCCTCCCCAACTAACTCTTGCAGATTTTTCTCTCCTAAACATCTTTACGTGATGCAGAAAACCTAAATGCTTTAGGTTCGTGAAACAAAAATGGGTAAGACTAAGCTTTTGGGCTTTTGATTTTTGTTTGTTCGTTTGTTTGTTTTTGTTTCGTTTTGAGACAGGTTTTCTCTGTGTGGCCATAGCTGTCCTGGAACTCACTCTGTGGACTAGACGGGCCTCCAATTCACAGAGATCCACCTGCCTTTGTCACTTGAGTGCTGGGATTAAAGGTATACACCACCACCACCTAGCTAAGCAACATTTAAATACCAAGAGCTTAATTCTGTGACTTTCTTATATATAAATTAACCCAGAAATCTCATTCTGAGTAAATATTTTCAAGGAATGGGTCAGTTTTTCCCATCACTCCCAGAGTAAAGACTCAGTTTCCCTCTTTAAACTATAGTCACATAGGAAACAAAGCTCATTCCTGAGTGTGTTGCTGTAAAATCTCAAATTTCCCTAAAAGACATGGTGCAACTTTCATCAACTCTGTAAGTCACAGGCATGTCCTCGGATTACAGGATTGGACAGGGGCAGAGGAGGATTTATAGGCTTAGTTTTGGATTTATATAAGAGGCTGGGGCGGGTGGGAAAGGCCTTCATAGAGGACTTGCATCTCTCTTGTATCCACAGCTGATAATGGATGCGCATAACTGAGTATTTAAAGCCTTTAAATTCTGCCTCAGTCGCTTGTCTTCCCCCTTCAACAAGAGCAAAGATGCAGGCGGGCATATCTAAAGGTTTAGAAGCCCGTAATGGCTGTATGGAAGTACACTGGCTTTAATGCTTGATGCATGCAGCATTTTTACATTTTAGTGCATTTTTCTAGAATCAACAACTGACTCTGAGCTCTATCTGATTCCCCTGAAAATGCAGAAAAGGCTGCTTTGGGTTAGTGGCTGTGCCTTCTTCCCCCATGTTGAAAGGGGCGAGTCGTCCCCGCAGCCCCTGATGTCCTTCTATCCTCCCCTGATCACAGTTTCTCCGTTTAAGTTTCTCTGGCTCACTGAGGATGTGAACCAGTAGTGTGTGTCTCTCACTGCATCTCATCCATGGCACGGAGGATGCTAGCACCTCTCACAGGGCTCACATACAGCAGTGCTCAGGAAATGCTTTACTCTGACAAGTGTAGTATCCGATTTCTGTAATCCTAGTTCTTGGGGAGCAGAGGAAGGAGAATTGGAGTTCAAAGCCAGTCTGGGCTACATATCGAGACCTTGTCTCAGCTCAGGGGGATGACCTGAGTTGGATCCCAAAGACCCACATTGTGGAAGAAGAGAACCAACTCCCCCAAGCTGTTTGCTGGCCTCCACGTGAATATCATGGCACACACATAAACATGCGTACAAGCACACACAAACTAAATAAATAATGCAATAAAAATAAAAACCTCTATTCTGATTAAAAATTTATTGCATCAAAAGGTAATTAAGTCAAAAAGGGTAGATCAATTATCTAATCATATTATTTGTACAGTGTTCTACCTGCAGCTATACGTGCATGCCACAAGAGGGCACCAGATCTCATTATAGATGGCTGTGGGCCACTATGTGGATACTGGGACTTGAACTCAGGACCTCTGGAAGAGCAGCCAGTGCTCTTAACCTTTGAACCATCTCTCCAGCCCCCAAAAAGATAGATCTTGATAGGCTGTTAGTGTTTTCTTTATTCAACAGCAGAAACATGAAGAATTTAAGAGAATCTTTCTTTATATATCCTAAGGTCCAAAGGACGATAGCCATTGCCTCCTTCCTATAGCACAAGAAGAAAGCCCTCAGGCAAATGCATCTCAGCTCTGAGCTAGTCCAACAGCTTCTACGTAGGAAGTCGCTGGTGAACTTCTACATTTGCACAGTTGGGGTACAATGATTTCATTTCGGTTTCTCTTACTCTCCTTTAAATAAAGGCTATGTCTCTCCATTCACGATAAAGGGGCATAGCGGCATGTTTGACAGACAGCTCTGTGTTCTTGAGGAGGTGACTTGGTAGACATCAAACTAGCCTGTCTGTTCTGCAGAATGACGGCATACCCATAAAAGACTGTCCCTCGCATTCACTACTCTGGGGGTCAAAACCAGCGAGCTGGCTCCTAACACTACTCGCCGACAGCTATATTGTGTCCAGATGCCTTTGACCTTTCAGACTTTCCTTTCATCACCACTGAAAATCTTTTTAGAGGACTTTCTAGGAGGACCTTGGGAGGGCACAGTTACTGAGGGCAGGTGCTCATCCTCTTGGAGCTGCTCTGCACAGCCCAATGGGCTCCTTTCTACAGGCTCACCGCACTTGGTGATCCTAGGCAAGAAAACTGGTTTTGCTTGCTGCCTTGAAATGCAGGAGTCATACTAGCTGGGACTTCCTAGAAGGCCAGGTCTGAACCTAAGAGGGAGAACTCCATTAAAGTGAAGCTTCAAAATGAGCTCTTTCAGAGGTTTTCATGAAGACAGGGTCTCCAGGATCACACGGAAGCAGCTGCCCAGATCTCATGACACTGGGAAGTCAAAGGGGAGGTTTGAAGATTACAGACATTCGCGCACTCCGTGGAGCCAGCAAGTGGACTGTTAGGAAGACAGCCTTTTCCAGCTTTCAGAGATCTGGCCACTCTCTGGGATTTACTAGGTTGGGAACATCATTATACCACATGATTTTTGTACAAATTCAGCTTAGTGTTACATAATCCTCTGAAAGTGCTGGGTGGCGCATAGACCAAATCTTCCTGTCCAGGAGCCAATTTCTCTTAGCAGCCCGGAGCATGTGTGGCCTCGTGGTTATCAAGATTAGCTTGGATATGGCTGCTTTGATGTTTTCAGAGCTGGAAAGGAATACCTAACCTCAGAGTGGCTCTCAGCTGCAGATGGAGAGCAATGACATTCACTGGAAGTGCCAATTACAGGCAATTTTGTGAAAACAGGCCGGGACGGAAGCTACCGCAGAACCGTATGCCTCTGATCCCACCACACAGTACTGCTTTAAACCATCTCTCTAGCCTCTTGATAGAAGCCCTCTCCCAGCCTACAATCCTTCTCACCCTGGTACACAGACCAGGACAAGATGGATGAATTAGCTATTCTCCTCACCATGCCTAATGTGGACTTCAACATAGTAGGTGTCAACAGTTGAAAACCCGATGCAATGAAAATAATAGCATTCTCTGCAAGCATGCGCTATCTGCTCAAAAGTAGACAAAGGCTGGTATATTCGCTTCAGAAAGTCAGAAATCAAAGGTTGATTCTTGTTAAATGTTGAATGAAATGACTGATCCACAGGAAAACCATTTATGACACCATTTCACCTTCTCCATCTGATGAGCCCGTTGCTGGTTGACTATCTATACTTGGGAATCTTTTCAGAATTGATGATTGCCGGCACTCTTCTGAATTTCACCGCTCTGGACAAAGCTCTCTCCCCTTTACATCTTGTGGAGATGATTTTAAAGCCCCCAGATGAGCAAGGAAAGCAGAGCCCAAAAGCACAACGTGCAAGGTGCACAAGAGATGGTGAGAAGATGAAGCTGCCAGTGATGAGAAAAAGGAAGAAGCATGAGGCTTCTTCTTTCAAGAAGCCTTGCTATTGGTCTACCATCCCTCTGCTCTGTGGCGACCCCTCTCCATCTTCTGGACCCTGGGGATTGATCTCCCAAGTACTTCTGAGTTCTAGGGAGTTGACTTCCACCAAGTCAGGTGCGCAAGGACTTTTGTAATTCTCCCCTGTCCACAGCAATAAAGTACAGTGCCTTTATGTTGAGCTCAACTATTGCAGAATCTACCAAGAATAGAACTGAATGTCATGTTTCTTTAATGTGTCACTTAAAGGCATCTCGGAAAGGAGCTGGGGAGATAGTTCAGTTGGGAGACACAAGCACACAAGGCCTGAGTTTGATTTTCAGAATATACAAATACACACAGACACACACACACGGGGGGGTGGGCAGGAGAAGGAGGGAGACAGAGTGTGAGCATGAGGCCTGGTGCCTCAAGTGTATAATTAATCCCAGCATTAGGGAGATGGAGACAGGCGTATTCCTTGGGCTTGCTGGCCAGCTAACCTAGCCTAATGAACAAATTCCAGGCCAATGAAGAGATTTCGCTTCAAAAGACAAGTTGGATGGCACCTGAGGAATGACATCAAGGTTGACCTCTGGCCTCTGCATGAACACAAACACCCACAAAATAAATTAAAGCTACCTTCAGTTTGGCGTTGTCAAGGGACTACGAGCTGAAGCATGAATATATTTACATGTGGGTATCAACATGTAACATACTAAGGGTTTAAAATAAATGATAGGTGGGTCAGGATTTTGTCCACTGTGTTGTTGATGACTTAATTACATAATTTGATAGAGGGACCTCTTTGGACAATGAATCACTGCTCAGTTTGGAAAATTTACTTTCAAAGTGGGTCTGACTTTCAACATTGATGGGAAATAATGGTCATAATCTCAGTTCTGTCAGTATCTATCTAGAGGACAAGGGATGGGTTAACTCACCTTTCCAAATGTTACTAGACACTGGTCATTCCCCTGGAACTAGAGTTGCAGACAATTGCGAGCTACTATATGGGTGCTGACAATCAAACCTGGGTCCTCTGGAAGAGCAGCCAGTGCTCTTAATCTCTGAGTTATCTCTCCAACCTGACACTTGTCATTCTTTTCTTTTAAAAGATTTTATTTATTTATTATGTATACAACATTCTGCCTCCATGTATGCCTGCATACCAGGAGAGGGCGCCAGATCTCATTACAGATGATTGTGAGCCATCACGTGGTTGCTGGGAATTAAACTCAGGACCTCTGGAAGAGCAGCCAGTGCTCTTAACCACTGAGCCATCTCTCCAGCCCCCCACTTGTCATTCTTTAACACATGATCGTCACTACCCTTCCAAACCTCCTGTAAACTCTAAAGGACAGATCAGCTTTACATCTGTGGACCCCAGTTTGCTGATAAGAGCGTGACAAAAGGAAGCAACTTCTCCTTACCCAACCCAACTGAACTGTGATTGCAGGAAAAAAGGATGTCAAGGAGCTGACTTTGCGGCTGGTAGAACTCCTGCTAACCACTAACAATGCCTGAGGAAATGTGCTAATAAGCACAGCTATGCGCATCAGGCCTGAGTGCACCCCCAGGGGATGTGAAAAACATGCCAAGAGGGTGACATCCTCACCACAGGACAGGTGGAGGTTTGGAAATAGTCTTGCAAATGATACTATCACTATATCCCAGGAGGAAGGAAGCACAGGAAATGCCAAGTTGCCAGAAAGTCATCATCAAGAGCTGTTTCCCAGCACCAATGGGCAAGGTGCTGGGACCTCTTCACCCCAACCCTGACATGGAGAACTCGCTCCTTCAGATCAGAAACACCAGTCCACGGCACACGCAAGAACTAGCATTCCTAACATGCCTTTCACCTTCTTGGATGGCTGGAAGACTCAAGCCCTGAGAGGTTCTTGGGTTTCTCTTCATTGCCCAGGGTTAGTGGTAACAGCTCTGGACTGTCAAGGAGGAAGCCTACCTAGTTCTAATTTCAGTGACTTTATCCATTCTCTGTGTGACCAGGGGTAATTCACTATCCTGGGCCATTTCTTTTGCTAATTATAAAGTGGGGGCCAAGCATCGTTAACCATATAAGGACACTACAGGAGGAATACCTATGCCACAGTGTGTTGGGGCCCTCAAGAGTTAAGGAGTTCTTTATAAGCAAGTAGTGATTACAGCAAAAGCCACTACAAATGGGCCTTGGGGACCAAGGCTACACCTTAGGTATATGATTTTATTTTTCCTTATTATTTATTCATTCATTTATTTATTGAGACAGGGTTTCCCTGTGTAGCCCTGCCTGTCCCAGAACTAGACCAGACTGGCCTCAAACTCAGAGATCTACCTGCTTCTGCCTCTGCCTCCTGAGTGCTGGGATTTAAGGCGTGCGCTGTCTAGCTTCCGGTGAGAGTCCAACAGCTGCAAATAAACAGTTGCAGGTTAAACCTCAAGATGAGAAGCACACAGATCATTCATGTAATGACTAGAGAAAGATCCAGCGATACAGAATAATCGTGTTGGAAGCTAGGGGTAGGAATTCCATAAAGAGGAAGACCGAGATGTCTGGCCAGTATTCTCAATCACCAGAAGAGACAACCTATTTTCTATAGCAAGGGTGACACTGCATTAGAGGCCCATCATGAGAAACATGTCACTGGCACACAGAGAGACATGGTGCGGGACAGTGGTACCTAAATCTCAGGCACAGCAAGCAAGACACTTACTCAAGGCTTTTCTATGCTGTGATCAATCTGAGAACTCGGGAAAGCATTGGGTCTCCTGGCTTCCCACCAATGTGACTCTTAATGGTCCACAACCATCCTTGAAAGATACATTTCCTTAGGGTCTACAGTTCTTTCTCCCTGTCTCTTAAATATGCCTATGATTTGCCAATTAAAACTCCTTCCCAAGCTATTATCTCTAGAAACCAGAAGGGCTTTGTAAGAAAGTTAAACACTTATTTGGAGGCCAACCAGGATGGCGCCCAAAACCTCCCAGACACATTCCTCACCCCTCCCACACTGGGTTTCCTTTGCTGAACAATTCCTTGCGCTTTCCTGGCTTGGAAACGGGTCCTCCTGTCTAGGGTTTAACAGCAACAGTGCTCATAGTCCAGGCGGTCTGGAAATAATTCTCCTAGCTGCATGGCTGCAGGCCAGCACAGGGCCTGAGAACCAACCCTACAAAGAGCTATGGACTCAGTAGGTAAGGGCAAGAGGGATACAGAAAGCAGGAGAGGCAGGGAATGAGAAGTAGCTCTGAGAGCTAGGAGGTCTGAAAGAAACCGGGGTGACCCGAAGCAGAGAATGTGTCCTTGGTCAATAGGAGCTCGATTCGGTACCTAACTCTAAGACCCAGGTTCTAGGTGGAGGCCATTCTCACACTCTGGTTTGGCAGCAGGACACCCCAGCCTGCTGAGCCACCAGACTAGATCCCCAAAAGGATCCAGGATCTCCTTCACTTGTGTTTTTTGCTCAAAATCCTTTTGTTCTGTGTGTTTTCTTGTTCTAGCCACTGCCTTTCTACGAAAACCTGGAAAATGACTTAGACTGAGATTTCACTTACTAATCTATGAAAATGAGAATAAAAAGCATTTATTTTACCTCCCTCAATACACATTATAAAGATAAAATGAGATTAAACAATGTTAGCAGTTGGTAAATGACCACGTTATTTATAACTCAAATCTCTAAGTTGTTCACAGTCTACATATGAGACTATAAACACTGCATAGGTAAGAACTCAACGGAAGCAGGGGTGGTTCACTTTTGGGTGGCATACGAGAGAACACACCAGACAGTCCAGTCATCAACGAGCCTCTCACTCTCCTAGTCCCTAAACCTGTCCATCCCCAGTGACTAGGGCTTATTCTCTCTCCTTCTTCCTACTCAAGTTCCCTTAAGTTCCAACACACAACCTAATATGGCCTTACTTACATCTCCTGCCCTTTCAACTGTCATATAGACGGTAAGCCTGGCAATTCATCCAGCATCTCATCTCAGTAAGAAGTTACTGCTCCTTTCCTATCCTACACTCCTTTCCGGTTCAAGAACTTTCTAGTCCATTCTATGACATATTTCAAAAGGGTCTGAGACCTGAAGAGGGAGCTCAAAGAAAGAACCTTTGTAAAAGATCCTAAACTTCATCCCCAGTATAGCCGATCAATCAACCAATCAAACAAACAAACAATATACAAAAGCCCTAAAAACAGAGTGTGTAAGGGCACAGATCTTAGAGGGCATGGTAAGTTATCATTGTGTTCCTCCTTCATAGAAAACAAGACACCCATCTAATATAAGTTATGATGGTTTATTTGGCAACTTTTTGACTATATGATGGTGCAAAAGCTACACATACGTATGTATGTATACATGTATAGTAGAAATTATACTTCAAAATTTGAGGTTTTCCCCCTAGACTAATGGTGTTCAGTAGGAAGTGCTTGTGGTACTGGACAGTGGCAGCCAGCCACAGCTCCCAGAAATGGCCAGTTCACAGGGACTGCACTGTTGAGTAATAAATGGATGCTATATTGGATATATTAAAAACACTTTCAATATTTATAATATTTTCAACTTAAGATGGGTTAATCATGACATAACTTCCCTCATGTCAAGAAACACATGTGTTAATGAATTCCGATCTTGTCAGGTCTTGTAGTACCCCATTTGATCATGATAAAGTACCCACAAGTCTACGAGCGACACCTTAAGGCACAGAAGGGAATGTGCAGGCAGCGGACCTGAGTCTTATAAGAAGACAGACTTGAAGGTTTCTCTCTGAGAATAGAACTGTAAGACCTTAGAAACTGCTGGGGTGCTTTCCAAAACATACACCGCATGGAAAAAACATGACTCTGTAGCCAAATCAGTTTTTGAAATGCTAGCTTAAATAAGGTAAGAGGCTTCCTTAACATCAGGGTCTCTCAGAAAATTAAATATAGTAGTAATAACACGGAACACTTCAGGTGATAAATGTTTAAAAATACATTAATTTTTGACAAATGCTAGTTTTAAGGCATCAGAGAAAGTGGGAAGGAAACAAGATTGGGTAACTGGAATGAATATAATTGAAACACATTATGTACATGTATGAAAAAGTCATAAATCTCATTATTATGTATAGTTGTATAATTATTATTTGCTAATAAAACATTTTTTAGAAGAAAATGTTAATTTTGTCTATCCTCAATGTATCTTAAAGAAGCTGAGACTCGGTGGGTTGACAATCAACTTAAATCATAATGGACTACAGTAGGAGGGTGGAGTTAATTCTAGGTTTTCTACCCCTCAGACAGGCATTCCAAAGCCTAGTTTTGTATGTCAGGCTCTAGAGGAATGACAGAGAGAAAGGGCACCTCTACAGAAGTGTAAAAATTACATTTACCCAGTGTCAAGGTTGTCATATTAAAATAATTTCCCATGACAACCGATATCGTACCCTAAGCTAAATTAGATTCCCCATGCCATGATTTACTAATACAGCTGGACCACTGAGTTACACGCAAGACTGGGGTCAAGGGTCACCTTAGTTAATGCTTCTTTCCTGCAAGCTAAGGTCAGCATCTCTGCTGGTTCTGCATATCTGGTCCTCTCTCAAAAGATGTATCCAACAGTGGACCCCCTCTCCATTGCTATATGTAACTAAGTACCAAGTTCAGATGATGCTAAAATCAAAGAGGGTTTCATCGTATTGGAGCAATGACAGGTGACTAACGTAGTGTTACCAGTTCTGGCATTAAAACATTCACCTCCAAACCTCAACCAGGGAGACAAGTCAATGACAGATAT